GCGCGGCCCCCGCCCCGGGCACCCTCGTCCTGCAGCTCGGCCCTGGGGCTGCTCCGAACATGCCGCGGTGGCACAAGGCGCGGGCAGAGATGGGGCAGCGCGAGGGCCTGCAAGCAGGGCTGTAGCACCTCTCCCTGCTGCACACGTGCAGTGGAAACTCTCCCAGTAGGGGCCTGCCTTCAAAACCACCCCCGACTAGTCCCCCCAAGGGGACTCATCCCTTCTCCTGCTGCATCCTGCCCCCATGCCCCAGCAACACCCTCCACCCCAAGGTGATGGCCAGGGACCAAGGGAGGGAGCCCTCCTGGCTCACCCAAACCAGGAGCAGGGTGAGGGGGGTCCCAGCTGTGCAGCCTGCCCACCCCACTGCTCGTGGCCCCGCTCACCCCAAGGACGCGGTACCTGGAAAGCCAGCTGGCAGAGCTGAGAGATCCACTCGTCCCGCTGCTCGGCCGCCAGCACATAGCTCTTCTCCGTGGTGTTGAGGTAGAAGGCAGCGGTGGCTTTGGGGCAGCTGTCAGTGCTGACGGGCCCCACGGAGACGCAGTCCGAGAGGCGGATCACCCGGCGGGCGCACCTCCGCAGGGAGGACTTCTCCAGCACCGTGCCGTCATCCCGCACATCAAACTTCTCCATCCGGGCCACGCCGGACGGGCTGGCAGCAAAGAGCTGCGCTCGCATCTTCCTCCAGAACCTCTGGGGTGCAGGAAGGGCACAGACAAGGGGAACAAAAGGTCAGCAAACAACTGCCTGCTGCATCTTCACCGGCACTGCCCTCCTTATCGCGTCAGCCAGCACAGTAAGGGCTCCAGCCCATGCTTGGCAGGACAGGGCACGCCGGGCACACGCAATGCCCTTCCCGCACCCCTGGCGGGGCTGGGCACACTGCACGTGCTGGGGGAGGACACAGCAAGCAGGGCCTTCTCAGGTCCCCCAGCACCCGCAGGCCAGGCCAGCCCCAAAGCCAGGGCTGCCACGCAGAGCGTCGAGGTGGCCAGCCTGGCCCTCCAGCGAGGTCGGCTCCGCTCGCCTGGTGAGTCACGCTCGCCCTCGGCTGGGAAGGGAACCCAGGCGTCCTGCCCTCTGCTCCCTGCTGCAAGTGCTAGCCTGCTGCTGCTGCAGCTGAGCCTCTTGAGCTGTTTTCAGGACAGACCATGATGCAAATTAAAGCCATTTTGAGCTGCTTGGGCTCCTGCAGGCAGCTCACACCTACCAAGTACAGTTAGTCCCTGCAGCTAGCAACCCGCTTCCTCCCAGGGGACGCTCTGTGGTACCAGCACCTTCCCAGCCTGTCATGGGATAGAGAGGGCGCTTCCCCCCCACACACCTCAAGAGCACAACATGGCCTCCACCCCAGTGAACCTACGCGCAGCCGAGCACCCAAAATACCCGCCACCGTAAGCCCACCTGCGTCCTACATGGCAGGGCATCGGCCTCTGCTCACATAGGGGTCTGCCCACTTCAGCTCTAGGACTCAGCTCTCGCAGGCAGGGAGACTAGAGCAGCTCCGTGAGAGTATCGAAGGCACAGCCGTGGCCCAGCACGTCCACTGAGCACACGGAGGGTTGACTGCACCCCACGGGCTCTAGGAAGGGGCAGAGCCACCCCGCTGAAGCAGCGGGGATGCTGCTGGGCACGGTCAGCGAAGTGGTGGGACCTGCCTTGTAAGCACCATCTCACAGCTCCTACCAGGACTCCAGTAACATAACCCATAACGTGCCCAGAGGGTTTTGGCACTCAGTGCCCATCCCCAAGGGCTCAGCACACCGAGCAGCTGGGCAGCGAGTCCAGCCCTGCGGCTGGCTTTTCCCACAGCACTGCCCCCCACGGTCAGGCTCTTCGAAGGCTTGGCGCACAGCAACTTCCTATGTGTGGTCCCACCACCCCCAGGAGCTGCAAGGGGCTCCCACCCCTGCTGCCCCACTTGCACACAAGCACCGGAGCTTTGCGTCATTAACACACGTTTATTGTTTCATCGCGAATCGCGTGGCGATCAGGCAAGGGGACAGACCCTGTACATGGGGGTCAGTGTGAGCAGAGGCCTGCTCGGGGGAGTCCCCTCAGCTGTGGGGAGAGCCACCTTGCCCCACTCCGTTACAGCTACAGAGGCCAGGGCCCTCTCTGCCCTACCCAAGGGGTCTGGCTCTGTCGTTCCCCTGCCGAAGCTGTGGAGGACCCAGTATTCCCCATCCGGTCAGGGCCTCCCCCAGGGTCTAGCATCAAGGCAGAACAGGGCAAGACAGAGCTCTACAACCCACCCCAAACCCACCCTCCACCTTTTACCTTTCCAAATTTGCTGTGTTGCACATAGAGGATCCCATCCTTCACAGGTCTCTCCATGGGCACAGCACTGCCCTGGCAGCCAGTGCAAGGATCTGGGACTCAGACCATCAGCAGCAGAGAAGTGTGACTGCTGCAGCTGAAGCAACTAAATGGGGCAGACTTCCTTTTCTCAGCGACTTCCCCTTTTTGCTGTGTGGGATGAGGGGCAGGCTGGGCCACAGGAGGTGTCCATCCTCCCTCCCCCTCACAGGAGGGCAGTGGGGCAGAACACATGCAGCAAGAGCAAAGGAAGCTCCTAGGGGCCTGCCTGACATGAGCACAGCATGCTCTGCCCTGCCCTGGCTGCATCAGGGCACAGTTGCGGGTAACAGAAACTGCCCTGGTCAGAGCACAGCAGAAAGGAGGCAGCCACCAGCTGAGAGTGCACAACACGAGCTGCGGGGGAACAGTCCCAGAGGAATCCAGGGGCTTTGGAGGAGAGCAATGCCAGACCCCAGCCATGCCACCACGGGGAAGCTGAGTAGGGGCTGCAGACAGCTGGCCACAGAGCAGCCACCCCACAGGCACCACTACCCGCTTGCCCAATGCTTCACATCAACATGCCGCTGATGTAATGGGCTGTTGCAGCACAGCTCCTCACATTTCCTCCTAGAGCAGGAGCTTCAGCAGGCTGAGCGGGCAACAGTCCCCAGTGCCCAAATGCTTTGAAAAGGAGCCACAGCGGTGCAGGACAGGCCTGCAGTCCGGGCTGGTCTGGGCTTTGGGAAATGAGGGCAGCTGCAGGGGGGACAGCGCTGTTTGCCCAAAGAGAGTCAAAGCTCGGCCCTCTCTCCCAGCCTCGGTGGAGGCAGCACTGGGCAGCAGCATCCCCAGGCTAGAAGTCCATGGAGCTGTGAGCCAGGTAGTCTTTGCGGCCGATGTTGCTGACTTGCTTCGTCTGCATCGCCTCCAGCTTGGGGCAGTCAGTGATGCGATGGCCCAGGCCACCGCAGAAGGCACAGCCCCGTTCATCTGCAATGGGAGGAGCAAGGTCAGGCAGAGCCACACCACACCAGGCAGGAGGGTGGCCCCCACCCCAGGAGCAGAGGGCTAGGCCTGCAACTCCCACCCTGTCACCAGCACTGGGCCATCCACGCAGCCAGGCAACAACCACCCCGTGGCAGGCAACCCAGGGGGCAGCAAGGACCCTGGAGCGATGGGAGCTGGGCCTTCCTATTTTCAGCCCAGGTCACTCCAACAACCCTGCCGGAGCTCCCTGTCCCAGCCTGGGGCCTCTCACCTCCGATGTCCAGCATGGTCTCATCCCCACAGTGCAACACCTGGAGCACAGGAGGCACCTTCTGCTTCGCCTCCAAGAGCAGAGCCTTCAGGTCCATGAGCACTGACTCATCTGGGGGCAGAGACACAGATCAGACGCAGCCCAAGCAGGGGCCTGACACAGGAGTGCCCCAAAGGAGGGCCTGCGGGGCCCTGAGGCCAGCCAGAAGCAGGGCAGCACTGTCCCATGCCACCGTCTCCCCTCCACGGGCCCTAATGACTTAGTCCCCTCTTGCTTGGGAACACCACCACTGCCGAGGCAGAGGCAGCTCTTGGGGAAGCAAGTGACTTGTCCTATCACCTCATATACCTACAGCCCACTGTGCGGGCCCTCGAGGCAGCCCCAGCCCAGCCCCAGGCCATTTCTCACCACAGGCCTTGTTGATGAAGGTGGTAGCAATGCCAGTGTTGCCTGAGCGGCCTGTACGCCCAATACGGTGAACTGCAGAGAAACAGACAGAATCAGGCCTGGGCAAACGCAGCCCAGGCAATGCAGCAGGAAGAGACAGCCCCTGCCCCAGCCACTGCAATGGCAAGCACACAGCCCTGCTGGCCTGCACCCACCCAGTTGTGCTCCCACAGTTCCCCTGACAGGGCCCACTCCCCACCGTAGTTCTCAATCTCCTCTGGCATGTCATAGTTGATGACATGCTGGATAGCTGGGAAGTCCAGGCCTTTGGAAGCTACGTCAGTGGCAACCAGGACATCCTTCTTCCCATCCCGGAAGGCCTCGATGGCTTTTGTCCGCTCCTCCTGATCTGCAAAGGACCAGCACAGAAGATTAGCAAGGGCAGAGCTCCCAGCTCTACTGAGCCCTATGGCCTCAGAACCAAGCATCACTCACAGCCCAAGCTCTCCCACTTTGAGAGAACCCACACATCCTTTCCCTAAATAGAGAAGCAGAGGGACACGCAGGTCCCTCACTATCAGCATCCTAGACCTCCCTTGTCTCATCCCCCGACACAGAGAAAGATGCCTAGCTGGGTGCAAAGAGATGGAGCTCAATCCCATGCGCTTCACCACACTACAAACTCAGCCAGCCTTGCAGCAGGGCCCCAGCATGGGAAGCCCCAACTGCTCCCAGGCTCTGCTGCTTAGGCTAAGCCGCCGTGCACTCGGCTCTGTGGGCTTAGCTCTCCCTCAGATGAGCACGGTGCCACCCAGCACTGTGGCAACACACGGCTCAGCCAACGCAAGCAGCCTGGCAAGGCGAGCTCCCCCATCCTGACAGATACAGAGAGCAGGGTTCAGGGAAACAGCCCCGGAGACAAAGCCAACCTAGGCATGTGCAACTGTGCACAAGGACCCAAAAGGCATTTGAGAGCATATTTAACGACAGCCATGCGGGAACTGTGCTGCGTTTGTGCCTCCTACGCTACTGAACGATGCCCTCACTGACACGTCCCATGTAAAACGACCATGCCTGCTTCCACCTCGGCTGCTACCCTGCTTCATACCCAGAAAGAAAGGACACCCCTAGGAGCCCCCGACATTGCCGCAGTCCTTCCTCAGACCGTTGTGAACTGCTACGTGTTGGGACCTGCCATACTCGGCTACCACAGTGGCAGAAGCAGGGTGAGAGACAGGGCAACATCTGTCTGGGCAGGCCCAGCCAACACCTCCCGACACCCTCACAGACCTTTCCCTCCATGGATGGCCACAGCTTCCACACCCTTGAGCAGCAGGTACTCATGGATTGCATCAACATCTGCCTTCTTCTCCGCAAAGATCAGCACCTGCATCAGGGAAAGAAAACGGCCCTTCTGCTTGCTGCTACTGCTAGGAATGGGCACAACCTCCAGAGAAACCCCCTCCCTCCTGCTGAGCAGACAGAGCACGCAATAGCTCTGGGCCCAAGACCGTACACAGAGTATGGTCACTTGAATGCCTACCCCCAAACATAGCACTGCCTTGAACCATGCCCTGCAACATCAACACCATGTCCCCACTGACAGCTCGAGGACGTGCAGCGGTCAGCTAAATCCATGCCCCTGGGCTGAGGTTCACCCACGCAGGCCCAGATGTGCTGTTAGAACAGCAGGAGCGCACTACTCACAGGTGGTGGGGTCTTCTGCAGGCACTCGAGCAGGTACACCATCTTCGCCTCCTCCTTCACATACTCCACTTCCTGGGAACAAGCACAGGGACAGGTCAGGCAGACAGCAGAAGGACTACTATCGGCAGGTGTCGCCTGGGAAGGGCTGCCGAGGAGCGCCAAGAAGCCCAGCTCTCTGGCAAGCAATATCAAGCGCACTTGTGAACTGCACTGGCCTCCCACACAGGCATACGGGAGCACCCAGATACCTCACCTGCACAACATCCAGGCTGGCAGCACCTGCTCGCCCAACGTTGATAGTGATGGGCTTCACTAGGGCGCTCTTGGCAAAGTTCTGGATCTTCTTGGGCATTGTGGCACTGAAGAGAAGGGTCTGCCGCTGGCCCTGCGCAGGGAACACAGTGCAAGTAAGGATTTAGCACTCACCCAAATGGGCAGATGCAGGGACTGAGCCCCAAGGTAGGATGTTTGTATCACGCCAGCTCAGTACCTTGAAATAGGAGAAGATGGTACGGATGTCTCCCTCAAAGCCCATATCGATCATCCTGTCAGCCTCATCCAAGGCCAAGTACCGGCAGATGTCCAAGCTCACCATCTTCTTCTGCAGCAAGTCCATGAGGCGGCCAGGGGTTGCCACCATCATATGTACACCACTGTGGGACAAGTCAGGCAGTCAGGCGCCT